ACACTGTAACACACACTGTATCACACTGCAACATACACTGTAACACACTGTAACATACACTGTAACACACACACACTAGCTGGAAACAAAATCCAACTGGGAGCTCCTGTTTCTAAAATGGCATTTTATTTTGAAAGGATCATAAAGTGGCAGCTGCTGTTGCAGGTGAGCTCAGCTTTACTGAACCCTCCACTTTGATCCACTGGACCAGAGATAATGAAGACCATAAACGAAGATCCCCGGCGAGCAGACCTGCAGCAGAACAGGTCTCTGGACCCAAACCTGTTTGTGACGAGTCCAAACAAAATATTTACAACAAATATGAACAGGTCCAACTTAAAATGCTCATTTTTAGTGATGCAGTTCAGTGAGTCTTCCTGAGGAGATAACAGGAAGTGAGTCTGATTGTACAGACCGTCAGAAAATTTTAATAAACACTTTATACAAACGTGACGAAACATAAAATAACTTCCACTCAAGCTGCAGAGAAAGTTAGAGCTGTCAGCTGATTCCTGCTCTGATTGTCCAAACTGTAAACCTGCTATCTGCTGCAGGTAATATACTGACTGAGGATGTCTGCTCCACACACAATACAGATGTGTTTCTGTAAAATCAGATGTTTAAAAGCGACATGGGAACAAGCAGTGGCTTGTTGTTGGTCTTCAGATGCTGGGTTTGGGGTTTTTGCATATTTTCATCATTTCCTGGTTTGTTTCCTGGTTTGTTTCCTGGTTTGTTTCCTGGTTTGAAAAGTAAATCTTTGTCCTGCAGCTCGTTTGGTTCTCTCAGTTTTAACGCTACTGAATGAATAAAGTTTTATTTATTAACAAATGAGGCTGATGAAGTCAAATCTATCTAATTTAAAGTTGAAGCTGAGAGAGGAGGAGCTAAAAATCCATTTGAAAACTAAAACATTTAAAAACATTAAAAAGTTAAAATAAATAAAAGAAACATTTAAAAACATTAAAAAGTTAAAATAAATAAAAGAAACATTTAAAAACATTTCTGTTTTCATGCTAAACGTTCAGTTTTCACCACCCGGCTCTCTTCACCTGCAGAACACCGTTAGAGCTCTGAGGACCTGATCAGCGTTAATCAGAGAATATAAATAAATGTTATTATTTATGTTTTTGTTTATGAAAACTGAACACGTGCATTCTTTGTATAATCCTTTTAAAATGAAGTTTTATCAGAAGGTTTTTTACATGTTTACCAGGAAAGATGATGACCAATGTCAGCAACAGCACGCTGCCCGTTGGACCACTGTCCCACTGTTACCATGACGACAGCGCCTTCAAGTACCGCGCCTACATCTGCACCTACATCCTGGTGTTTCCTGTGGCCTTCCTGTGCAACGCCGGCGCGCTCGTCGTCTTCTTCCAGATCCGAAAAAGGTCAGAACACAAACTGGTCCAGGTCCAGGAGGACGTGTCTCCGTCTCTGTGAGGACTGTCTCATTATTTAATAGTTATTAGCAACGTCTGAGTGCCACTAGAGGTTCTGGACTGAGATCTGGGCTTTTACTGGACCAGTCCAGAACCTTTGTCTGGTTCTCCTTAAATCAGTAGAGTGGTCTTCAGTGGGGTGCTCAGGGACATTGTCCTGCTGGAAGGTGGACCTCTGTCCCCGTCTCAGATCTCTGTGTTTAGCTCAATCCACCAGTTTCCCATCTCCACAGCATGATGCAGCCACTGCCGTGCTTCACTGTCGGGACGGTTCCATCAGGGTCGACCTTGCTCTGCTGGATCAGGCCTTCCTCACATGGACTGAGACTTAGACCTTCAGAACAGACGTCCCTGGACAGGACACCAACTGCAGCCGACCAAAGAAAACATCAAACCGTCCACTGGAGCTCCATTAACAGGGAAGGAGGAGACCTTCACAAGTCAAGGACCAGGTCTTTGTTTAGTCTATGTCTGCAGTACAGGAGGACATCCTGTCCATCAAGGTGGATGTCTG